TTTGCAGCATTTTGTGTTGTTTCATTTTAAAAAAAAAAGCTGAAAATTTAAATAGTTAAAAGTTGAACTGTGACTAGTTGGTTTTCGTTTTATATGATTTATTTATTACATTTTATGTGGAGTGAATAAATAAAAGTATATTTACGGTGGCCCCTAGAGACAAACTTCACAATACGTACAAACCCTGAAGCACGTACAAACTCCAAAACACATAAAAACTCAGAAGCACGTAAAAACTCCAAAACACGAAGAAAACACAACAGAAGTGCTCCAGAATGCTAGGCCCAGCATTGAGCTTTTGTTACCTGCACTGTTCCAAAAAATAGAAATGTCAAATTATTTTACAGTGTATTTTACAGTTGTGTACTGTTTTTCTAGAATATCATTACATTTACATAAGTAGACTGTGATCTGACACGTCAAATGTAAAATAACATAACATCACTGTAAATGTAATAAAACACAATTTACTTGTTTTTTAAATAAATTTTTTTGTACATATGCATATTTAGATTGTAAAAATACATTCACAAATGTATCATGATTTCACAAATATCTGTCCGTTATTTGAAAGATTGAACTGTTGAATTCAAATGTAATGCTATGGAAAAGTATATAACATGATCCCTATAAGCTTGTGTTACATCACATAAGTATTATTATCGTCACTAGTTAGAGCGATCGTGGCTCAAGAGTTGGCAGTTCGCCTTGTGATCAGAAGGTTGTCGGTCCGAGCCCCGGCTCAGACACTCTCCGTCGCTGTGTCCGTGGTCAAGACTCTTCACCTACCGCCTACTAGTGATGGCCGATGGTGCGATATGGCAGCCTCGCCTCTGTCCCAGGGCATGCAATCAATTATTATTTAAACCAACTGTTAACTGTATATGTCTGTACATTTACGTATTATGATTCATATTTCCACATTCAGTGACCTTGTTTATAGGTAATTTCATTGTTTGATCACGTTAAAATGTTCCTAATTTAATGTCTAAAAGCATTTGGAAAAGACAGAATCCCATGTCAAATTAGAGCAACAAACTCTATTTTCATTACTGAAAATAACTGTATTTTTATAGGACAGTTATTTTCTGTTATTTTGCGGTCGTATTTTGGCGCCCCAGCTGCCGGAATATTACCGTTTTTTTAAGATGTTTTTTTTTTCCTATTTACAGATGATTTCATTGTTTAATGACATTAACATGTTCCTAATTTAATGTTTAGCGGCACTTGAAAAAGGCAGGATCCCATGTCAAATTAGCGCAACTAATTGTATTTTCATTACTGGAAATAACCGTATTTTTATGCGGGAGTTATTTTCTGTAATTATACGGTCGTATTTTGGCTTCAGCTGCCGGAATATTACCATTTTTTCAAGATGCTTTTTCTAACAGTGTAGAGGCTACACAAGCCAGCAAGTACCAACGACTTGCTGGCTTGTGTATGGTGTATTAACAGGTAAATGAACATTTTTTTTTAATTATTTGAATATATATGGTGCTTGTGTATAAATACACAAACAATACATATATGCTTTCAATTGTGTAATTTAAGTGATCTAGGTAGCTCTGTTTTGAAGTTCAGTTAACACTAGCAATGTGTTTTGGACTTTGAACTTGTTTTGGAGTTTGTACATGCTTTGTCTCTAGGGGCCACTATATATATTTATATATAAACATATCAATAAAACCACTTTTTTTATACATTAGTAATTCCTTTTGTGCATAATGTCATATTATTGTTAATAATAAATTAATTAAAGCAAAAAACAACCTGAAGAGTCGGTCGGAGCCGCAAGAGCCAGCTCTCTAAAAAGATCCGGAAATCCCATCACTACAAGAGACGCTCAGAGAGTTTGTGCGTTCGCTCAGACACATAAAAAAATAGAGTGAACAGTGCTTATGACTCTCAGACTGAAACATGAAAACAGGTCTGTTTCACAGTTTCCAACACAATTATAATAAGTATGAATCATGTCGTCTTTGATTTTCAAGGTATAAAAAAACAAACAAACCTCCAAGTCATTTTCGCCCGAAGTGACAGACTTGCTGATTTTGTCCATGACATCAGCAGCAGAAACTGTGACCAGTTGTTGCCGGTTTCACCAAATGTCATTAGCGCTGCAGTTTTACTTTTGGGGCTTGGCTTAATGAGAACAGAGTTGAGCGAAAGGGTGAAATGAAATCTGGGGGACGGGGCTGATGCAATAAGAATTGGCTGCGATATCTTCCAAACTTGCACAATTTAAGCATGCTTTGCGCTCTCCTGCCAACTCCTACCCCACACTAAGTATACTGAGCTGGAACGCATTGTTATTAATAAATCTGCTCTACATTTTAAAGGGAACACGGACAGTTTATTAAGGGTGTATGAATAGTTTTCGATGTCTGTCAGCTAGACCGATTATTGCGCAAACCGTGAAATAAAAACGACACATCATGTCAGTGTAGGATCTGGGTCGTTCCCGATGAGGATAGCCTATTGTGAAATGTGAAGCTCACCTTGAGAGCCTGGAGCTGGACCTGAGGACTCCCGCGGACCCTGTCACCTCAACACAAGAATAAAGCGTTGCCCCACTGTCTTCTCCACACGTGACATCTGCCCCACTGACGTCTGACAGATCCTCATTTTTACAGAGAGTGCTTCTGCTGACAAGGCGGCGCTCTGAAGAATGAAACTTTGTGACAGCAGAGAGCGGAGGAGGAGTGGTGGGAGTGACTCGTCCAGCCTCCAGTGACACCGGAAAGAATAAATATTTAAATATTCAATCGCGCTTGTCATTTATTCATGGACAACACGAATTTAAAGCTGAATTTTTGTCTTCATCTACCGGACAAACAGAGCAACTACAAACGGTCTTCACAGAGAACCAGAATGCTCATGTCTGAGAAGAGAAGCGCATTTCCCGTCTAAAGAGTTCAACATCATTAAACTGATCATATTAACATTTAAATCATTCTTATGCATCTAAAAGCCTTCCATACAACACCCCAAAATATAAAAAAGGTCCTTTATTTTCAACTAATCCATCCTCTGAGTGAAACAGCAGCTGTGTGTTGTCTTCGTGTTTGTGCTTTTCCTCCAGTCGTATTCAGAGC